TGCACATACCCTATAGCAAAAATCTCTGTAAAAAAAAAAGAGTTAATGGGATAATGCACAGCTATTTAATTTGTGCAAATTGTTGTGAACTTGAATAAAATAGTATTTGAATAATATGGCTTTCATGCCACAGTTATACACAATTATATTTTCTATCAAGATGCTCATTTCTATCACATAACTTAAGTAAACACTTTTCAGTACTGGGAATGATGAAATTCTATAGCACACCTTTCTGAATTCTAAACTGGACTAGTTTATTAATTCCTTGAACTGGTAAATTCCTGCCACTTCCCTGAAATAGCTTATTTTCCTCAAATTACTAAAAACAAAATGTTTCCCACTGGCTACTACGTTAGTGTCTAATTGCCATCTGGAGTATTTAGATTCAAAGCATTAGGCACTGACAAAAGTATCTATCACAATTTGCTAATTTGTTGCCCCAAATCATTTACTGACTAGCAAACTCCTTGAAGGCAGGGATTCTGTCCCTATTATTTAAGGCTTTATCAGAAAATTCTAAAAGGAAAAGTGTAATTGAATAATAGCAAAAATGGACTATGTAAAATAATATTTATTATTTCCAAACATAGATCTCTAGTACATTTTTAACACATTTAAAAATGATTGTGACTATAAGCAAGAAAAATTTTAAAAATCTGGAAGGAACTTGGCATATTTCTACTCTTTCAAGAATTAGGAAAAAAAGGCTCATCAGTGATGTTGATAAAAATTCACACTCATTCATTTATTTCATTTGCTTAAGAGGGCAAAGAAATATGAATTTAAAAATCTTATCAGCATAAGAACAAAAGATGTAATATTCTTGTAGGCATAATTACAGCAGTAATTGAATCAGTCAGTTTGGAAATATGAGCTGAAAAATGGATGAAGATTATTTTAAAAAAGTTAGTATCTTTTCAAAAGACAACAAGGTCAAAAGTTTAAGCATTTGTATATTTTTAAATATTTTGGAAGAGACAAATGAGAAAAGTCATCTTTCTGATAAATGAACATACACTAATTACTTGCAATAATCTTAAATATTTATTTTGACAGTAACAGGTATTTAGTAGGAGCTACAGTTGTTAGTTGATAGGAGTTGTTCTTGTGCACCCTTTTCTCTTAGTCAAAGCTTAATGTTCCATTTTTTTAAAAATTCTTTAACCACCATCTCCCAAACTTGCCCCACCCACTCTATTTCAGCCCCTAGTAACCACCATTCTATTCTCTACTTCTATGAGCTCAGTTTTTAAAAATTCCATGTATAAGTGAGATCACGCAGTATCTGTCCTCTGTGCCTGGCTTATTTCACTTAATATAACTTTAGGTTCATCCATGTTATTGCAAATGGTAGTATTTTCTTCTTTTTGAAAAGACCATATAGTATTCCATTGAGTGTGTATATGCCAAAGTTTTCTTTATCTATTCAGCCATTGATGGACAATTAGGTGGACTCCGTATCTTGGTTATTATGAAAAATGCTGTGATGAACATGGAAGGGCCGCTATCTCAACATGCTGATTTCATCTCCTTTCGATACCCATATGATAGTGGATGGCTGGATGTTTAATTTCCTATTTAACTGGGATCTATGACCACGTCTCCCCGGTAATCTGGATAAAGGCACAGGAGACAGAGGTGGAGCTATACACAGTCACATACCCAGCATCTAGCTGCATATGATAGCGTGTGGTGTGCTCCAACTAGCTCTCTCTACTTCAGTCAGGAGTAGGAGATGGAGACATTCCTACCCCATTGTGAAAACAGTGCACGATCGATTATGACCACCATCCCGTCACTGTCCTTATCCTGCCATTGGCTTCCTTCCCACATATCTCCTCCAAAAATCACTAGCTTCATCACGCTACACAGGATTTCTGGGTTCGAAGAGCATTTTTTTTAAAAAAGAGGGACACTATTATTACTGAAAAACGTGTATTTATAAATGCTGTACGATAACATGTACTCATTCCTAAAGATAATTTAGGTACTTTTCTTTGAATGGACAGTGCTGAGACTACAAAGTCATTTAATACTACTTTTTCTAAATTAATCACTTTCAATTATTTTATACATAGAATCCTTTTCTGCAAATATAATCCCATACCAAACACAAATATATAAAAGAGTTCTGCTATAACTGGATATAAATTATATATATAAATACTAATATGTAATAAAATGAGACTAATGAGTTCACCCTAAGAATTTAAGTATGAGCAAGAATAAAGTTGTAATCCTTTATCATCCTTGGCAATCAAGAAAGTTTTCACTCAGAAACAGTACTCACTTCTAAAATTTCACAAAGGCAAACATGTACATATGAATTTTCAAAAAGAATGCAGGAAGCTAAAATATTTTTGATTAATAGCATCCTCTAGGTCAAGGATATGTATAGAAATATACTTATCTAGTTCAGAAACTGAAATTTTGGATTAATAGTTAACATATATAAACATCAAATATTTGGAAAAGAGATCTTAAAATGTGTGTGTTCTCATTGATTATGATTTTTAAAATAGTTGAATATTTACGTTTAAAGTGAAAATAAAACTTGAAAAGATATATGTTAGATATGACATTTAGAAAAGTATTTGTTTCTCTTTTTTTTCTTTTCCTTTTTTAGGGAAGGGACAAGGAATGGCATTTGTGAGGAAAACATTCAGAAAGCAATTTCAAGGCTCCATAAGTGTTATCTTTATAGCTTAATTTCAGCTTCTTAATGTAACTTAAATGTGGAGTTTAAAGAGAAACTAATGTACTGGAGAAAATCTTTCAAAACATAGCAGCATGTTTCAATGTGAATAAATTTCCTTTGCACATTATTTTTCATAATGTTTCTTCACAGAAAATTATCAGAGAAACTGGAGTTTAA